ATGACAAAATAAAGAATTTTCCTAGCAATCCCCTTTCTTTTTGCACACAATTTCCCCTACAAGCCCGAAATTCAACCTATTCTACTATAGATAAATTTTGAGTGGATGTTTCTTTGAAGATCTTACAATATTGAATATTTTGAGATTGGATTTGCATATTTTGAGGTCAAGAGAGGTTTTAATCAAAAGCTTCATGTGAGAGATTAATGATTATTGTCTCAAAATACTCCCTTATCAAATGTGCTCCTGCTAATGTTAGTACTTTTCTAAAAATGCTTTGATTATGAATTTTCTTGTTTTTTATCTTGTCTAATTGTTAAAAATAACTTGTTCTTAGAGGCATTAAAATGAAAGTTTGAGCACAAGATGCTTGATCTATTAATGGAGGACCATTCATAAAGACCGTTCGACCTTTGACTAGGTCTATGACTAAGAGGACTGAGGAAGCCATAAAAGAGGATACATTTCATAGGCCTATGCTTATTATGAGTATTGAGTATTCTTCCTCTCCTGGTACTTATTCTTTCTATTTGTATATATCTTAGAATAGGATTGCTTATATTGTCTAGATATATGTATAGGTTATTTTTGACTTGTATTTTGGTCTAAATAGTATAAGATGGATGCCCTTAGTTTGTAGGACATGTTCTTATTTTAAGGACATAATTCTTTGTGATCTTTCTTTTGTTTTTCTTAGGCCTTGTATTTTGGCCAAATTAAATAGGAAGTTTAGTCCTAATATTATTTTCATTTGATGATGTAATTAGTATTTTAGGAGAGGTGTAACTAGTAAAAGTTTATTGTGTGTGTTGTTGGGCTTCCTTGGCCCATATTTACTTGAAAGGATGGTATTGTTTGGTGACTTTTTTCTTAAAAAAATATACTCTTCTTTTTTTTTTTAAGCAAATAACATAACCCCTTTTTTATTTATGTAAATGACCCATTTTCCGGCCCAAGAGAGAAATCGGTTGGGGGAACTAATTTCTCACTTGGGCCTCCCTTTTTTTTTGTATTTAAAATTTTTTAAAATGATTTTAATGTAAAATTTAGAATTTAAATTTAATAATTTATTTTTTTTCCAATAAATAGATATTTTAATATTTTAAATAATGTATTTATTTATTTATTTTTGTAATAAACATAGAAATTTTAATAATTTTTTAAAATCTGTTGACTAAAAAAAGATTATATTTTTAGGGTATTTAAACAATTAATTTTTATTAAAAATATAGATATTTTAATATTTATGAAATATTTTAAAAAAATTCATTTAATTTGTTGAGTTTTTAAAAATCATTCTAATTTAATTTAATTTTATGTTTGTTTTGTTAAATTAGAAATAATGGATTGAGTTGGATTTTATCCAAACACTAAAAAAATACTTGACCCAAACTATTTGGGACTATTGGGTATATCAATATTCTTGCCTGTGAATACCCCTATTAATTTCACCATGAATTTTTGCTATGTTGCCAAACATGCAAGATAATCCATAATATTCACCGGTTATGAAATTATAATCTCAAGATTTTCTATGATTATAATAAGAAATAGAAGCGTTTTTTTCATTAGTCTTATACCATAACTTTATTAAATATTTATAAAAAAAATAACTCTTATATATTAAATGCGAATGTCCAGTTTGATGGAGGACCATCTTTGACATGGCTAGGAGAGTGGAAGAGGAGGAGGGAGCTCACACACCAAGAGACACTCTCCTCATGATCATAGAATATTAATACTCTCCTAAACCTCATTAGTGTAGGGTTTATTTTATTTGCCAATTTTACCCTTGTATTTTGGGGTGTTTAGGACTTAAAATTTATTTTCTTTGTATTTCTTATTTGTCCCTTTTATTTTTGTTCACTTAGACATTAGGTCTTTATTTTCCTAAGTATTTCAAGTGTAAGGCCGTGACAATAATGGATCTTTTGGGCTAAGGTGAGCATTGACCCAAGTGGAAGGGCACCTAAGTTGCACATTCTCATTATGCACCTAGATGTAGCTTAACTTCACCTAAAAAGGTACCATTTGTAGGGTTACTTGGGCGGCACCTTTAGGTTTACATGTGGGTGTCATTTGGAGTGCATTTCCTTCTCATTTAGGGAAGGAATGCTCATCCAATGATGACCTAGCCGTCACACTTCCCTAGGTCATGACCTCACCCCACACTTATAAATACCTTACGACTCACCTCTTGTAAACACTTTGGATATTGAATATAAAGAGAGCATTTTGCCTTTATATCATCCTTAGTCCCCTTGGCTATTTTCGGCCACCTCCCATCCTATCTCCACCTTGAGAGAAAAACCCTAGAAGTAGACTTCAACTACCTTGGAGTAAGCCAACCCTAGAGTACACCTCTCAAACCTTTTCTCAAACACTTCACCTACAACGTCCACCTCCAACTTTCCTTCACCATTCCTTGCGCCTTTGAAAACCTTGATCCAAGGAGTCAAGGTTTCCTTCTCATTGATCAACATCTATCCATCAATACTAAGAAGGATGCCATCACAATTTTTACTTTAATATCTTTAGGAAATATTCTTCAACGAGAGCATTTTTAAAGATTCTTTTAATTTTTATTTAATTCAATTTTTATTTATTATATTTATTTACAAATTAAATTTTCATTTTTTTAAATAAATTATTGATAATTATAAATAATTTTGTATCACAATATAAATTATTTATCTTGAATTTAAAATATGATCTATTTTTAAAAATGTTTATATATACATATTTCAAATATAATTTATATATTCAAATACTGTATTTATTTGAACATATAATTTATTATGTCAATTTATGTATTAAACATAAATAATCATCTTATATGAGAACATTTTTAAAAATTATTCTTTGACAAAAGTGTTTTAATAATTCTTTAAACTTCTTATATAATTTAATTTTTTATTTATCAAATTCATTTATGAATTAAAATTTTATATTTAAAATAAATTATCAATAATTAAATATAATCCAATGACATAATATATATTACTTACCTTAAATCAAAAATATAATTTATGTTTCAAAATATTTATTTATACAAATTATAAATATAATTTACATGTTAAAACATAGTATTTATTTTCATATATAATTTATTATATAAAAAATAAACATTTAACATGTAAAATATACTTGCTAAAAACGAATAAGGGAAACTAACTAAAAAGGAATAAGGGGAAAAATAAGGAGATGATTACCAACTTCCAAAAGAAGTTTAAAAAGGTACAAGATTGAACTGCGCATCAATTCATATAGAATATCAGACTATATCAAAATCTAGTTTAATTCAAATGATTCTAACTTTGAAGACAAAATAACTGTGAAGTTTAACTTTTGGGTATAAATAAATAGTCATTATTACTTTATCTTATCCAATGATCGCCACTAAATATAATTAAACAATATACAAAATTAGGTAATAAAAAATTTATCAAGAATAATAACTGAAGCTTGTTACATGTGTCTTTCTCTTAATATATTTTTTGCGAGGTACACATAAATGATTATAACCTATACAGGTTACTCTTTATTTATAGACCTCACCAACAGAGGTTTAGGTTATTCTCAAACATTTAACCTATTAATATTTAACAAATATTTGATGTTGAGCCACAATCTGTGTCGGTGATTACGTATTAGTGCTCGGTTAGATTTAACAATATAAAGAATTAAAAAGAAAACGACAAAATTTAATTTACGATACAATCAGAAGACGACCTGAACCTCTTGCCTCCAGGAACAGCGCACAACTCGCATTCTTCCATCATTTCACTGGATCAAAGTGTTTTTTTCATTACTCAACCCAAATTTCTACGGGTACCCCAAATTTCTCAACTCCAACCCCATGACAATGAGTTGTAAACGACACCATCTGCAAGTGATGCCTGCAACTTTAATAATAATGTCTCCTATAGTAACAGTCAACCGCAAGCAACTACATCAACGAGCAATGTACGATTTGGAAACACGAAAGCAATCAACTCAAGAAAGGTGCGACACATCGTAGAGGGAAAGAAAGCTATTCATTCAAGTAAGAATTTTGGCAAGGTGTAAACATCATTGAAATGCTGCTGCAACAATTGTAGCGCCAAGAGTAAGACCCTTCACTGCAACTTTTCTTATTAACAACTCAATCCAATTCAATTGAATTTGCTCAACTGGGTTCGGTTCAGATTGTTGAAACAAACATCAATCCAATCAGTCAAGATTGAAAAACAAATCTCTGAATCCCAAGCAGTGACCATTAGATTGTGAAACAAAATATCAATTATATCCATGTTTCGCTATTTGCATCTTAAGTATAGGTAGAGCACAAAACATTTTTGCAATTTACATCTTAGATTCCAAGGGCACAAAACATCGACAAAACATCGACCCTAGAGTTTGCGCAGATAGGAATAACTTGATCACTAGCCAAACCAATTGTAGCTTAGGCACAAAAGAAGCAACGATTAGAAAAAACAAGGATGTGTGTTTCCATCGGAAATCTAGGTTGTATGTGAACAAACATGTTCATAAAGCTTCAGGGGAGGGTTGGTATGCCCAAGCAATCAACAATTATCCCATTTCCTTCTATTAAATACAGATAAGCAAAATGGTAAGCAATTTTAAAAATTGTGGCAATGTGGAGAATATGCTATTTCTAATGATACAAGTAAACTTGAGGATAATGTAGTAATCTGTTGACACTCTCTGCTAGACTACTCGTGTTTGCAAGATTCCTCAAATTGGGATTTTCCAGAGGGATAAATAAAATACAACCATTAATGTTGCGATCCAAATCCATGGACAATCAATTAATCTTCTTTTTCAATCAATCATTGTTCCATTGTTGCAATTATAAATCCAAATTAAAATCCACGAGAATCAATGATCAAATCCAAGCCACACAACACAAAACTATGCATCTTTGAAAAGGGAAAACACTCCACATTCCACAATCTATCGAGAACTTGGGTCTAAATTTATGATAATATATAATTATGAACCTTTAAGACAAATAAATAAATGAAGATATAAAATCTCAAGAGTTCGGCAACAAAAAAGGCAGACTATTAACCAGAAACAAGTTCTAACAGGCAGTAACAACTAACAAAAAGGAACCACAAGAGAAGGCAAAATCGCCTGCGAAGCAGTACCATACTCAAAAACCAAACCCACAATCTTTGCCATATGTATAACCTTCCCCGAAATTAGAAGAATAATAATAAGAGAAGAGACTAATAACAAGTTAATATAACTGTTAAAAGGTGCAAAAAAAGAGAATATGTACTATTCCACCTTTTTCTCCCTTCGCAAAACGTAACCCCTCCTCTCTCCAACAACCCTTCATTTCAATCACCCAGAAGCTTCAACGCATTCTCTCGCAAAATGCCCAGGCTTCCCACAATTAAAGCACGTGCTATTTCCACCGCCACCACCACGACCACCGTTACCACCACCGCCACCACCACCGAACCTCCCTCCTTCAACGCCGCAATCCCTAGCCAAATGCCCAACCTCCCCGCACCGAAAACAACCCCCACCACCGCCCGCTCCGCCGCCGCTGCCTCCCTTCGCGGTGGC